TTTGCTTTGCTGATTTGCGAAGATTAGAAAGAACAGTGGTACCAGGATTTTAAGCGTGTCGGAGAACAAGCAATTTCATACTTTGCCCGTTTATCAATCTCTTTGTCAGCCAATTTGACCACGTGTATCAAAAAGCTCACAGCCACAAATAAACATGCACACACACACGTACTCCATTTCTACACAGAATCACAGAAACAAGGAAAGGTGGGACTTAGATAATTCCAAGGAAAGAGGACAGAAGTTGTGTCCCCAGCATAGGACACCTAGAAAAAAAGACCATCCCAATTAGGCATGACAGGATCCTTATCACTAGTATGAAGGCTGCATTCACACATTAGACCACAGTTGCATTCCCTGCCCAATGTTTATGAGGAGGACACGAAGAACTCTGAGGGTGCTGAACACCCTGTGGTGGTGGGACTCAACAAACACTAGAAACCCGGTGTACATATTTTAGACCTCAGCTGTCACCTGTTTTGACAAATCAAAGTCACCCTCGCTCATCATAGAACCATGCCAGCTCTTCACTGCCTATGACTATTACTCCAATAGTAGAGAGCTGGCTCCCCCTTGTGCCTGAGAAATATTCAGCTAATAGACACCCAGGTACCCTGGAGACAAAACCTCTCTGAAGCTCACTTGAACCTTTCTTTAGGCAGGAGGGTGACTGTTAAATAGCCAAATGGATTTTGGTTTTATGAGGATAGAGTAATCAACCTTTTAAAGGCCCTCTATATATCTGTGGGCCTCCAGCCACTCTCTGAGCTCTCTTTTCCTGTTCTACATCTATATTTACATTACTACTATAGATCTTTAACCAATGCCCCTTTCCTCAACCGCGACTCCCATAGTACCTTCTGAGCGTTTGGTTTTCATCCTCCACAAACACCTCTTCCTACAACTTGAGATGGGTAAAGTTAGAAAAGAATCCTGTGAAGGCTCTCTTCTCTTTATCCACAACTCTCTCTGATGCGCTTTCATTGAGTAAATTCCTCTCATCTCGGCATCATGAGCAGGGTCAAGTCAGAGAGGGCAAAGTACCCCTTGATTCTGTTGATGAGGCCAATGTGTGCAGTAATCTCACTCGCACGTGTGGAATGGATATGATACAGGGTCAGATTTACCCAAGGCCGGATACAGGAGACCTCTAGAAGTCCAGAGGTTTTTCTTTTGTTTGTTTATTTGTTTTTTAAAACTTGCCAGTTACTTGGATGGTACAAAGGCATCGAGTGAATTCAGCTCTTATACGGCTGCATGTGATATTCAGGTGTTATGAACAAGGTGGAATACTGCTCACATTGGGGACTTTAGAGGCTGGCTACACTTTGGCACTGTGAAGGAGACAAAGATGACTAAGATCTGATCCCTAAGCCCTAGGAACTCACAAGCACATATGAACAATTTCAACATAAGACAAGAGACTTGAAGTGGGTTGGAACAGCTGGCTAGGTACAGAGAGCTGCCAGAACTGTTTTGGGAGATTACAGAGTAGGCCAAGAATCAAGGGAAATTTTGGAAGAAAGGAGGTGGGGGTGGAGTGAGGGAACATCCAAAGAAAACCTGAGAATGTTTGGTGGCTTGCACTGGTGCGTGGATCCAATATCAGAGAGTCAGGTCATTGTCATTGGAACCTGAGCTCTAGGTAGAGCTAAAGAGATTCAAAGATTTTTCTAGAATAATCCAGAGACAAATGGTAGGGTGACAACTTTTACCATTATTTGGAGAAAGCAAACACCTGAGGGCAAGAACAGCTGGAGAGTAATCTATTATCAACATGAAGCAGTAATTATGCTGAAATGACTAATGAGTCTATCCCAGAAAACTGGGTTGGATTGAGGAAGATGAAGGAAACAATTTCCTACTATACCTATTTGCCAGATCAAAAGTAAGAGGTGAAAGGGCAGAAGTTATTTGGATATTGCATATACTTCAAACTTAATATATAAAAAATGGAACCCATGATCTCTTCTCCAAATCAGCTACTCTTTTCATAACTGAGGTGGTCTTGAATATTAGACAGGTTGGCGCCAGGTCACATGAGACAATAAGGTTGAAGGAGACACGTAGGAGATGGAGGGGCCCCAACTTGGCTCCAGGGATAGGCCCTACAAGCGCAGCAAAATGTCTAAGATCCAATCCAAATTCAAGTATGGTTTGGATAGTTGGGCCAAATCCAAGGGATCCTCAAAGTGGTCCCTGGACCAACAGCATCAGCATCAGCATCACCTGGAAACTTACTAGAAATGCCAAATTCCTGGGCTCCACTCCAAACTTACTCAATCAGCAACTCTAGGGGTAGAGCCCAGCGATCTGTGTTTTCAAGCCCTCCAGACGATTCTGATGCATGTCAAAGCTTGAGAAACCCTGTCATAGAGAAATAGGAATATATGTCTACCAAGATACATGTACAAGGATGTTTTTAACACCATTATTTATAATAGCCAAATACAGAAAACAAGACAAAGGTATCAGTATGGATAAATAGGTTAGGGCATGGTTATGTAATACAATGAAGTAGTAAAAATGAATAAATCTCAGTTATGTAAATAATTTACATAAATGACTCTCAAACATAATGGTGGGTAAATATTTAAGACACAAATAATACATTTCTATATACATATAGAAAAAGGTTCTTGTCGAACTGTACCTATATATTTTAAGAACCCAAACTGTACCTAACCTTTTCTTAAAACTTTGGGCTGGCATATAACTAGTACCTGACATATAATGTGTGCTCATTATGAGAGGTCTCATTCTTTATCATTATAATCTTTATAGTGACTCAGAGTATTTCATAATATGGATATACCATATTTATTTAACCACTTCCTTGTTGATGGGCTTTTTAAGAATATTACTTTGCCCCAATAGACTGAAAATTCTGTGAGGTAAGAGACCATGTCTGTCTTCTAAGATAGTGCCTACTATTCAATAGTTATTTAATTGAATTGATTTTCTAGATTAACTTTCCTATAAGGAAAAAAAAATGTCTTGGCCAGTTTTATCTTTGTTGTAGCATAAATTGATTCCTTGTATACATCTGGTATATGTAAATATCCTTATATCTGGTATATGTAAATTTTATTCACAGTGAATTAAACCCAGAGAATCCAGTCAATTCTGGATGTAATGACAAAATAAATTGTTCTAGACTTGGAAAATTAGACCATGGATTCTGGAGTAGAGGGAGCTTCTAAGATGATTTAATTTCCCTAGGTGACATCTCTTGTCTCATTGCAACAGCAACTAGGAAATGTGTCATGCCCTAGAGTTTGGAAACCATGGATCTTGCATTTTCTGAGAGTAACTACTTAAAATATCCTAGCTTTCTTAAATGTACTTGATTCATTCTAATTTGTGATTTGGAACATATGACACCATACCTGGACCTCTAGGGAATGACTGGCTCCAGAGGAGATGCTTACAGGGCAGGACAGGCCCCTTGGAAGTCCTGCTCCTTTGAAAACTTGTCTCCATACTCTATTTTATGACAAGTTGCCCAGCCCGAGCCTAGAAGAGAGTTGTAAAGGAGTTCTTCCCTGAGCAGTGGCTGTCAGAGCAAAGCCCATGGGCAGCTGCAGGTAAGGGGAAGCAGATGGCCATGGCTCAGAGAAGAGACTCAAGCAACATACACAGTGGCTGGAACCTGCCAGGTTCACCTTGGAATGCCCATTGTGATGTCATATGGAGTCACAGCCTTGAAGGAGAAAACTGTTTGGCTGAGAGGGGCATGGGGTTGAGTAATGGCGCCAATTTGGGGGCTGACCATCCCACTGCCACCATATGTCAGCCTTCTATTATTATTTGGTTTACTTGTATGGGGGCTTTGGGTGCTGTGTTCTGGGAAACAGAGCAGGGAGCATGAGGCAGTGGAGACAGACTCAGAGGTATGTGATGCAACACTTTCTTGAAACTCACTGCTCCCTGCCCCTGAAGCCACACAAACTTCTATATCTTTGGCCAGGAGGAAAATTCAGTGGGGGAAAGAGAGGACTTGAGATAATGCTTTTGGATATCTTCCTATAAGTTACTCTCGAATCTTTTCCTTTTGATTCATTTCAACAAACCTTGGGCACATATTACATGACAGCATACTAGACATTGAAGAATAAAACACCATCCTCACCTTCTAGGAGATTGAGGCGAAGTGGAGAAAACAGTCAAACATATATACATAACTCAAGGAAAGAGAAAGTGATAATAGAGGTATAAATATTGCTAAAGAGAAGGGAGATCGAGTATTTTTAACTAGGGGGATCTATAAAATGCCATCTGGGAGAGCTCAGTTTGAGTTGTGCTTCAAAGGAAGGGTTTTTAAAGGTGGGTTGGGTAGGTGGAGGAGAGTAGTAGAAGATTTTTCAGAATGAAAGAATAGATTGGAGAAAAGCATGGGAAGAAGAGTGTTGGCAGAGTTTGAAGAGAGGTGAAGACACCTATCTGGATGGAATGTAGAAGTGTAGGGAAAAAAAAAATAGAGTTCAGATTGTAAAGGGCTTCGAATGCCAGGCTGAATACTTTGTAGTATAAATATTATTCTGTATGCAACCGAAAGACATCAAACATTTTAAAGCCAGGTAAAAATGTGCTTAGATCTGTGCATTAGAGCAGTGTTTCTCAAACTTTAATGTGTACATGAACCACCTCAGGCTCTCGTTAAAAAGCAGATTCTGATTCAAGTATGGCATAGAAATTGAGATTCTGCATTTCTAACAAGCTCCCAGGTGGACCGAGAACCACGTTTTGAGACTGAGACTTGAAAATAACTCCAGTAAGTATATATGATAGTTCTCTGGCACGGCTAAGCCAGTAGGAGGTTATATTAATGACAGTGTGAAGGAGAGAGAAGGAAATGAAAGAATCAGAGCAGTAAGATGGAAAACAGGCCATGGCTTCATTCTCCAAAAGTTTATCCATCACCACCACCATGTACAAGGCACTCTTCTAGACGCTATGGATACAGAGGTAAATGGAAAGGAAAAAATCCTCTGTCCTCAGTACTCGCTTTGGCAGCACATATACTAAAACTGGAATGATGCAGAGAAGATTAGCACAGCCCCTGTGCAAGAGCGACATGCAAATTCATGAGGTGCTCCATATTTTTATGATTTTATCAACCAATGTCACCCCCAATAAATTTAATTTTGAAAATCTCTGCCCTCAGAGATGTGAAAGAGGAGGGGTGTACTGTGGTGAGAGTTTGGATGTGGGAAGTGAGGCTATCTCAAACTTCTTTCATTGTCAACATTTGTCAACCCCCTTAGGCACTTAAAAATCATTTTGTCCCTTTTTCATTACATATACATGATTTTAGGTAAATAATCTTATTTTCAGGTTGTTTACTGCTTGTGTATAGACATACAACTGATTTTTGTGTGTTGATATTGTATACTGTAACTTTGCTAAATTCATCTATTAGCTCTAATAGTTTTTTGTGTGCATGTGCGTGTGCGTATTCATTAGGATTTTATATAAATAAGATTGTTATCTACAAATATAGTTCTATTTTTCCTTTTCAGTTTGGATGCCTTTTATTTCTTTTTCTTACCTAATTGCTCTGGTCAGAGCTTCTAGTACAATGTAGAGCTGTAGTGAAAGCAGGTAGCCTTGTCTTATTCTTCATCCTAGAGAGAAAGTTTTCGGTCTTTCACTGTTAAGTATGTTATTAGCTGTTGGTTTTTCATAAATGCCCTTTATCATGTTGTCCCTTATGTCTCTTGTAACATATTTTCTCTCGTTTTTTTCTCTCCATGCTTCAATATGAATATTTTCTTGACTTCTCTTCAACTGTGACTAATCTACTGTATACCAATTTTTAGTTCTCTATTTTTTTTTCTGTTCTAGAATTTCCATTAGTTTTTATAAAATCGTTTCTAGTTTTTGGCTAAATTTCTCCATCTTGTCATCTAACTTCTTGAGCATATTAATCATACATATTTTAAAGTCCATGTCTTTTAACGATATATGGATTGCCTGTGAGTTTATTTATATTTTCCGTGTTCATCTTAGTTTTCAATCATTCACTCTTATGTTCTAGCAGTTTTTTATTGAATACAGACATGTTATATGTAAAGTTGAAGAGATAATTCAAGGCTCTGGGTGAAGTTACTTTCCTCTACACAGTAGAGTTATTTTTTGTTTTTGGAAGCCATTTAGAGTAAACTCATCTTAATCCAATCAGGGTTTGAACTCATCAGAGGCTGAGCTTCAATTTTTGAGCCCAGTTAATTTCAGGTTTATACCTATTCCTAGGTATAACCCTTTGGGGGTCTCCACTGAAAGCCTGAGATATTTAATAGGGCCCTTCCTCCTTAGTCCTTAAAGTCATTTTTTTGGTCCATCTGTACCCATAAACTCTGAATGTTTTGCTTAGCCTTTTAGCCTGTCGACCATGGCTTGAAAATTGACAAATGCTTTGAGGGGGAAATCTGGGATCACTTGGCTCCTCCTGTCCTTGATGTCTTGATAGCTCTTCAATGACTTCAAGTAGATGTTAAAAAAATTGTTTTGTTCTTGCTTTTCTAGTTTTCATTTGGAAGATTCACACCATTGTTGTAAGCAAATCCTGGATTTATTTTCTTTTCCTTTCATTTTCCCCCTTCTACTAGCTTGAAAGTTATCCATTTTGTTTCTGTTCTTTCAGTGGTTACTCCAAGAATTTCAGAATGCATATCCAATTCTCTATTCAGAAGCATTTTATTAATGCTGCTAAATCCACCTATTGAGGTTTTAATTTTAGTACTGGATTCTTAATTTCTAGAAGTAACATTTGATTCTCTTTCAAATCTGCTAGATCACTTTTTATGGTTTTCCATTCCTTACAAATATATTTAAGCTTGGTTTTTATTTCTTTACAATATACATTGTTATTTTCTAATCTAGATCCAATAATTCCAATACTTGACATTTCCGTAGGTTTGTTTCTGCTTTCTGTTGTTTCTACGCATGTGCTTATTTTTAAATATTTAACATTTCCGAAATTGAGATATGTCTTACAACTGATGTTGTTTCATAATTTAATTGGTAGTGGTTTTTTTTTCTTAGTAGCATGTAAAATAATGGTACATTTTATAATCAGTAGCATCTTAGATTTAATGAAATGCAGTTTTCATGGGAGTTTTTAAAAGCCTAGGATGAAGATCTTTCTCAGAGAGTATTTCATTTGCTTTTGACTATGACACTGCACCATCAGTCCAGGACCACTTGAAATTCATGGCTTGAGGGTTTTTGGAATATGTAGATGACACGAACTTGAGCTGAATTACACATGTAAATTACACAAACATTAACCTGTGGTTAAGACCTCCCAGAGACTTCCCTTCAGTCCTTTGAACTTCAAAGCAACTTTCCTTGCAGTTCCCTAGGGTTAAGACTGAGTGGCAATTTTGTCATTTTGAGGTTCCAGCTGAATGTGGTAGGGTCTTCCATTGGATTTTTTTTTTGTTGCCTCGTGGTTTGCATTTTTGAAGTTTTATTTAAGAAGTTCTTCTGTGCCCTAGGTCACAGATTTTCTTCTACATTTTTTCAATGTTCCAGTCTTACCTTTCACATTTTGGTTTTCAATATATTTGGAGTCCACCTCTAGATACAGTATAAAGAAATGATCCCATTTTATTTTTCCCTTTATACTAAGCCAGTTTTCTCATCACTATTTGCTAAAGGATCTTTTCCTCATTGATTTACAGAACTCCCTTTATCATATTCATTTGCTATATACATGAGCCTATCTTTGGGTTCCCGATTCTGTTCCATTGCTCTGTTTGTTCCTGCATTTATTGCCGTAAATATGTAGTGTGTCTTAGTGTTTAGTATAGTAGGTTCCTTCTTTGCTCTTCTTTTTAAGGTTGACTTAGCTATTAGTGGACCTTTCTTTTGTCATATAAATTTTAGAGTTGACAAGTTCTTGAAACATTCCAACTGAAATTTAGATTAGGAATATATTAAAGTAAAATTTAACTTGGGAGTAATGATACCTTTATAATTTTAAATTATTCCAACCAAGAGCCTACAATGTCTCTCCATTTATTCAGATCATCTTCTATGTCCTTTATTAGAGTTTTCTGCATGAAGGTCTTCTATATTCCAGGTTAACCTAATACCTCAATCCTCTATCATTTTTATTGCTCTTGTGAGGGATATATCTTTTATTATTTAAAATTGGTTTTTTTTCCTAGGTTTTTTTCTTTTTTCTTTTTTCTTTTTTTTTTTTTGCTGCACTAGAGAAATGCTATTGATATTTGTATGTTGTTCTTATATTTAGAAACCTTGGTGAATTATTTTATTAGGTCTGATGGAGCACGTCTTTGACTATCATTTCAATCGTTTCATACCTATCAGTCTATTCAAATAATCTTTTTTTTTTTAACCACTTTTGGAATTTTATATTTTTTCTAAGAATTTAACCATTTCATCAGCTATTTCTCATTTATTAATGTATAGTTATTCAAACTATATTCTTTCTCCTTCCTCTTCTATTTCCAAAAAGATTTTATATTTACCTTTGCCTTCAGGACCACTTTTATTTTCTGTTTGAGGGTTCCTGGCTATACACAGCGAGTATAAATTAGTTTTTTTAAACTAGTATGAGGATAGACTCTTGTTTAAAATTCTCAGGGAAGGCTTTTCCCTCGCCACCACCCAGAACTCAAGCTTCATTATCTGATGGGCAGATTTTTTTTCTAGCCACCTTTTTACTGAGTGTGTAGCAATTTCAGAATCCTGGCTTTCCTCCCCTCCAGGGTCTCAATTCCAAATGCCCACTTCACCTGGGCCTTGTTTTTTTATCCCTACCTTGTCATTATCCCAAGTCTCTTAGTGACTGACTCTGCAAATGACCCAGGGCATTGAGGTGTTAGCTGACTTTCCACTCTTGTTTTTCAGTTTCTCCTTACTTTTGGATTTGAGGTTTCCCTTACTCTCTTGTAAAGACCTATATTCTGCATTTAAAAGGATATTTGTTGTATTTTATTCAGCATTTCTAAGTGTTTTGTAGTAGGGGATTATTTAGTTCTGCGATATGCAGAAATCGTTTTGAGATAAATATATAGAAAGATCATTTGTAAGTATATTAACCTGTATTTCAACATCAGTTTTCCTTTTGCTTGTTGTTTTTAATCAATGGTCCTTTATGAACATAAACAATATATGACTAATCATAAAATCAATTTAAAACTGTTTAAAAGTTAAAATTATCACTGCTCTAGGGGTATTCAACTGAGTAATAAACCAAGTGATTGAATCATGAGCATATTCATGAGTTCCCCAGTAATTGCTGTGTAGGTTCTTTTAATATTCTCTCAGAGACTGATGTTCTGATTTAAAGGAAGAAGTTAAAAATTGTTTTAGTATTTGCAATTGTAACAAATGTCATTTCTGCCTTTAAAATGACCTGGAACCCCTTGCAAAACACTGAGCGGTTTACTAACTACTGGTTGGGAAATTCTGACCTACAGGGCAATATAAAATTCTGCAGTTTGGCATTACCTGGCTTCTACCTACCTTTTCAACTTTCTCTCTCTCTACTTAGCAAAAAGGCACTTGACAATCATGACTTTCTAATTTTGATGATGTTCCCACTTGCCTAGAATGTTCTTTCTTTACCTAAAAACCTTCTGCTGACTCTTCAGACTCCAGGACAAATGGCAACCTCTTGAGTAATTCTTTCCTTCTCTCCTGAACAGCTAATGATGTCTGTATTCCCTACCACTTATATTCTGTTACAGCATTTGCCACACAGTATTGTAACTATCTGTTCACATATCTGTTTTCCATACTAGAGTAAGTTCCTAGAATACAGGGATCATATTTATCTTTGTAGTCGTCGCACTCCACACAATAGGAGGAACTTAGAAAGTACTCAATAAATGATTCATGCATAAAGGAATGAGGTGGTAATTGTTGCTGTGGTTATGGATTCTAATTATACCAATATATTTTTCTATGAGATGAAATGCACTTTCAGTAAACTCTCTAACCTAGACCATTATCTGATTTTATTTTATTTTTTTGTGCCTCTCTAGACCTCAAAGCAGCATAATTTCAAAAATATCGAGAAATTCACAGGTCAGTAAGATCTCATCCTTTATTCTTCAGCTTAAGGCCAAT